AAAAAAAAAAGCTCCCTCCTGAAAGATCTGCCTGCCCGGGTGAGAGGTGGGGGCTGAGGAGGGGAGTGGGAGCAGGATCAGCGGGAAGGGAGGCGCTGGGAACCCCTGGGGTGCTGCTGGAGGTAGGTTTCCCTGAGCCGGTGGGCTTTCGCCAGCCCTTGGTGTGAGCGCGCTGGCACCGGGTGCGAGCAGCGTGGCCACTGACACGGCCGTGGAGACTTCGGTCACCCCTTCCTGGTAACTGGGCCAAGGCCAGACCCGAGGGTTCTGCAGCAAGGTTTAAAAACGTGGCTGCTGCTATTGATGGGCAGGCTGTCAACTTACAGTAAATTTATGCATGTTTTCAGTGGTCATGCTCAGCAGCCGCTTTTTAATAAAATGGCTATTTACAACAATATTTCTGCTGTTGCTGCCTCTAGTGCAGCTGCTGGTAGTGCAGGCAGGAAATTCTGTGCAAGCGATTCCTCTGAGATACTTCTTAATGGTATCAGCAAGTCAAAGTTTGCCAGGCTTAATTTTATTGTTGCTTTTCAAAATTAGCAGTGAAATTGTCAAGTATCTCACTGGTATTCCGTTACTTATTGTAAAGTAGGAGTTTTGGAAAACTTGTAAGAAGGTAGTGTAACAGGGTTCCCCCTCCACAGACAGAAGGTCCGAAGGTAAAATTTTAACAGTAGAAGAGAGTATGGTTTCCTTTCTGCTATGGGAAGGGATATGGAGAACTTAACATCTAGAACATTGAAGCTTTACCTTTACTCTCTAGCTAGCATTTAAAATGCAGTAGAATACCCTGTTGGGAATGTCACGCTCAGTTGAGAAAGTGGTTGTGTCTGAATTTCTTACTGCCTGCAGTTCCTGAGTCTCACTGGGACTTCCTTCTGTCTTTGTATTGCTCCTGAGTAGCGGAATAACTTGGTAAACTGTTAAATCACACATATACTCCTTGAAATCAGTGCTGACCTATTGACAAGACTACTGGAGACTGGGAAGAGATTAATTTTGTTGTACAGATAGGTATGTTTATACCAGACTGTTTTAAGTAGCTTGCCAAAATGTTGCTCTATTTCAGGTTCCTTTATAAGAGCCAATGAAGATCACTTCTTCATTTGTAATGACAGTAAGAGTGAAATTAGTACATTGGGGTTCTTTCTGTTAATGCAAACGACTGAGCTTTGCAGGCTGCAGAAATATTTTGAGGATGATCTGTATTGCACATCCTCCTCTGCATGAAGAATATAGTTAGGTTCCCCCCCCCACCCCCCCTGCTCTGGGGAGTTGGGGAAAAAACTTGTCAAAGGATTTGTCATGGTACGGATATGTGGTCACATCTAGTCTATCCTGTGAAGTTGAGATGTTGGGAGTTGTATGGAAAACCTTGATGTCATTGTTTCTGTCTGGCACTAGCCCATGGGCTGTAGTATTTTAGATTTCCAGCATGTATTTTACACTGATAAGAAGTTAGTTTGTGAGTGGCAAGTGAATAGGTTTCACTTTTTAATGTTTGTAGAATCCTGTCTGGCATAGACTAAGTTTTGATCCGCCCATTAAGTTTTTCTATTCTCAGTGTGGGGCTTGTGAACACATACTTTGAATGCTTTAAGGGCAAAATGAACCTCTGTTTAAATGTAAAATCTAGATAAACTGAACCTCTGAATCCTTTTGTTTATTCGTTGGTGCTTCAGCAGCTATCATGTAATGTATCCCACTTTTGCTTGAAACTTCAATGCTGCAATTCTACTGAGAGTAAAGGAGGAAATACAGAGTTTTCCTAAGTCACACTTCAGATGTTCTGTCATGCTGTCCAACTCCTGAGCTGTCTGTGAGATGAGGGGGTGATTTTTCCACGTGCTGTGTTTCCTAGTGATCACCGTAGCCATCATTTCCCAGGAAAGAAGTTTCTTTTATGTTTCTTCATTTCAGGGTTGAAACTGGGTAGGAAGTCTGTGGGCTTAATGCTTTTATTTAGGAGCTGAATGCAGCTGGGTTGTGGTAAATCTGCCACTGCGTTTATATCCCCCAGTTGTGAACGCAACTCAAAAGCTTCGAGTACAGCTTTGAATATTGTGGGGTTTTTTTTTCTTTTTTTGCTTATACCCCCATTGCACAGGGCAGCTTATCTGAGCAGTGGAAATTGTGTATGTTTTATGTTAAAGATAGAGTTATATTCAACAGTCGAAAAATAATTTTGGAGTTCTAGGGTCAGTGCAATCTCCTGAGATCATAGGAAGAGTTTAAAAATAAAATAACAAAATACTGCATTAAGATACAAAGAAAAGCATCTATGTGTAACCTGTCCTTGCATGAAAGTATAAGCAGTTGGTTTAAAGTTGCTATCAGCAGATCCAGCCTTGTTGTCTCATATGTGGTTTGTTTTCACAAGTAACATCGCAAAACTTGCTCGGTTGTTCACTTCATATTTTAGTAATTGCACAGTTTGACTTCAAATATGAGGAGAAAAAGTCTATAATGGCAAGAATGGTGAGGTGCGAAACTGTACATGGAATTGTTTGGGCAACTGAGTTATGTTTGTTAAAATTAATTCCCTCTGTATTGTTGTCCTCAAGCAAATGTCTTAGCATTTTGCTTCGGTATCTACCTGATGCCAAGCATCAGTCATCTCTCCTGGCTGTGGTACCTTCTGGATGCCCAGCACTGCTCCTCTTTGCTACTAATGTTTTATGACTAGGTGATCATTGTTAGCGTGGATTCAGCTGTATGTTTAACAAGAGTTTGTAAACTGCTAAGCTACAATTCAGCTCTATGCTGCTGTTGGAGCTTTAGTCAGCTAAAATACAGCTTTTCGATTCTGTTGTCTTCTGAGGACTTTGCTCTCATTTAAGTGGCGTAATTATGTCATGGTTAATTGGCAGGTTATTTTGATCTAATCGTTTCGGATTATCTCTCTCTAGGATAGTACTTTTAATGGTACATCAAGTTTGATAATGAGGAAGCAAACCAAGAGATTCAAGCACAAGCTTCCTCCCAAACAGCAGTGATTTCTTGACTCTGTCAGGCTCTTGTGAGATGATCTGTCCTTAGAGGCAAAATTTACTTGGCTGTGTAGCTGAACTTGACATACTGAGCTCAGGGCTGGGAGACCAAGGTGTTGCTTGTAAAGAAATGTATTTTTGTAAGTGCATTCCTAATTTATGTAGAAAAAAATGGATGCTCCTGAAATACTAAATTTCTTTTTGGGGTACATTCAATTTTTTTTAGCATTAAACAGAAGTTTGTTTCAACATTAAATATGATTGTGAAAATATAGCTAGTTTTTTTTTTTTAATAGTAGTGTGTCACTGGATCACGAGTTCTCTGAAGTGGCTAGTTAAAAAAATTTACGTTTATGAGCTAGGTTCTGTTTTATAGGCTTAGCTGAATAAAAATGTCTTGTACTTTTGTTAGCACAAAGACGTGAAATGCATAGCTGTGCGAGTTACTCTATACATGCTCAACACAACTTTTTATATTAAAAATTTACGTTAAGATCAAAGTTAATAAAGCTGGCAATGGTTCCCTTCAATAAGGAAAAAACCCTCCTTTTCTAACTCTCTCCCTTGGTTTCACAAATACTTTGACAAACTGTGTTAAATCAGTATTTTGTGTAGGAGGACAGTACGTGGAAGGAAATGCACATTTAAAAAAATACTCTGGTTCTAAGGACACTTTCTTAAATAAAGATAATATTTAAAACCTGAAAGAATTTGTGTGTTTGCAGTGTGAGATGGATGCAGCAGTCATGAGTAATGGATGGTGTGGCTCTTAGAACTAATTCACCCTTTAATGGGAGAGCTTTTTAGCGATCTTTTGTGAGCACTTTCTTCATAGTCCCATATGTCGGTGGATGGATACTGCTGATTCACTGGTATAGATGATGTGCTGTCTCCACCTAAGCATAACTACAGTTGACTTTTATAGGAAGGCAGTGCTAGTGCCTTAAAACTTGCTAGAGACTGCAGATTTCCAGCCAGGCTGTTTCCTGTTGTTAGGAATTCAGTACTATGGAAAACAGATTCTTTTGATTTTTATTTAATGGTGTTATAATGTTTACTGCTATGGTTTCTATGAAATACCTTGAATTTCTGCTTGAAGTAAATATGCTGAAATGAATTTTCTTTTTTTGTTCCTTTTCAGGCCTTTGCACAATTTGATGCTGAAGGAGATGGCACCGTAGATGTAGAGAATATGCTGGAGGCTCTCAAGAATTCTAGTGGAGCTAATCTTCAAGGGGAGCTTAGCCATGTAATCAGGCAACTGCAAGCTTGTTCACTAGTTCCAGGTACGAGAACAGAGTGACAAAACAAACAGTTTCCCAAGTCCTGCCCTATATAAGAGGTGCTGCTTCAATAAATTGCTTTGGTAGTGTTGCTTGTCCTAATCTTACCAAAACCATGCTCCAGGTCATTCTTGCTTCTCTAATATCAAACAAGTGATGTTGCTGTAAATTAAAAATTTCCCATAATTACATCCAACTAACTTACTTTCATAAATAACCAATATTTTCTTATAACTGGGGAGCTTCTTATCCTTCTTTGGTTTCTCTCGCAGACAGAAAACGGTTAATTGCAAAATTTTGGTGAGTGCCTGGCTAATGCAGTCTTGTACTTGGTAACTGGAGGAATAAATCCTCCATTGAGTCTGTTTCAGGTGATGAGTCATATACTTTATTATTATTATATTGTTGTTTAGCATTTGAAATCCAGCTAAAACATAATTTGTGTTTTATAGCATATGGTTTGGAAAGTGTCAGTTTCTAGAATTTGATTTCTGGGATGAGTATCAGTTACTGGCTTTCCTTCCAAGCTTTTGATGATAAGTGGCTAAAGGGGATTTGCTTTAGAGGATCAGACAAGAAGTGCTAGAATTGGCTAGAGATAAGTCAGAGCAGAGTACTTATGGGGTACTATTCTATGCATCCAAATGCACTGTGATTCAGAGTACCACTGTTAAGGAGCTGAAATTTCTTACGACGTTGGTGGAAAGCATTAGGCACCTCTTTGGGAATAATCCACAATGCCAAAGCGAGATGCGTAGGGTATCTCAAGGTAGAGTGATGCGAGTACATCAGCTCGTTAGCCAAGCAGTAACTGTTTCACTTGGATATTGAAGGTAAGGGTTTGGAACTTTCAGGACAGCAAAATAAGCATAAGAACTAAGATTTTTGGTAATTGTTTTGAACTCCTTCAGGCATTTCAAGTAACTGGCAAAAATATTTGCTTGTACCTTGCATAGTCCTGCTGTAGAGGTTGCAAACTTGAGCTACTTCATATGATGGAATGTAGTTCCAATATTGGCTGCCATGCTTCATTTGGATTTACCTAGTAATAAGATGTAGAGGAGGGAAATGATAACTTGGTCAAGTCAGATGTTGCAACAAAGGTAATGTATTTTTCTAGGTTTTATTGATATATTTTCTGAATCGAAAGAGCGTCTTGGTCTTCATGCTTCAATGATACTGAGGTTCTTGCACCGAAATCGGATTTCTAGTACTGCCATCCCTTACCCAGCGTTGGAGTACTTCAACAATATCTGTACTATGCGGTCTTCTGTATTGAAGGATTCTTTAGATCGACTTCTCCTAAAAGAGAGAGGTATGTATCTTTCTTTTTTTTTCAGGATGGTAGTGTAACCATAGCTTGAAGAAGAGATTGCAGATAAAATAAAAAGCTTTCTTTACTGTTTAATATTTAACAGGCATGGCTTTTGAGGCACATAAGTTGATTTCATAACTACCTAGCAATCTGAGTAACGCACTGGGATGGGATGTTTTTCATCTTTCTCTGGACCTGTTTTGGAATGATGATTATTAATTCGCAATATTCTCTATTCAGTTAAATATCTCTATTACTTGATAGAAACTTTGTTTTCTGAAGTTGACTGTTCAGTATTAAAAAATAATTTATTGTTTTGGGGTGGAGCTAGTGACTCTTTTACTGTGTTTCAGATGGGACTGTCCTGGTGGTCTCCCTAGAGAGATGGCTCCTTTTCTTCACAGCTTGACTTGATATTTTCAGATCTCTGCACTTCTTCTGTTGCAATAGATCAAGTTACTTGGGGAAACAGTCTGCTTTGTCCCTTCCCTAGAATAGCTGAATTGAAGTTGTCTCCATCGTATTTTACTTTTTCCTCTCATCTGTTTATATTTTGGCATAATAATAATAAAGTACTGATGAGGCCAGTAATGAAAGGAGAAGATAAAGGGTATTGAACTCCAGGCAAAGAAGGTGTTTTCATACTGCACGTAGTAGATTGAGATTACTGTGATTTCATCTGAAATGAAACTTTGCTGTCTTCTACTTTGTCAGAAACAGTTTTTCAGGAGCTGTGTTCTGTGCCAACAGGTTAATTTATATGAGATAGTTATTATAAAGGTATAACAAATCTCAAAACAAGCAGAAGAATAATGTTATGAGTGATTTCTTTGCAGAGTACCCCAGTGACTTGAATGGTAATCAGGAGTCGGACAAACTGAAGTCTGTCACAAAGTGCTATACTCACATAGAAACCTCATCCAATTCTGCTGATATTGACAAGATGACAAATGGAGAAACTACATCCTTCTGGCAGTCGGATGGGAGTGCTCGCTCGCATTGGATACGGTGAGCGACCCAGCAATGCACAGCTGAGTTTTGGGGTTGTTAGTCCTTAGGTCTACAGCCAGTGGGGTGTTATGGTGAGTTGACCCTGGCTGGAGGCCAGGTGCCCACCAAAGTCGCTCTATGGCTCGCCTCCTCAGCTGGACAGGGGAGAGAAAATATAATGAAAGCCTCCTGGGTCGCGATAAGGACACGGAGAGATCACTCACCTGTTACTCTTTACAGGCAAAACAGACTTGACTAAGGG